ACTGTTTAGAAGCAAAGTAGCAGTATACAAAAAAGTCTAAATCTACTCTACCCATGTGAACTATGGACAAAATAATAAAGGACGCTAATGTCCTAAAAGCATTGTGGGTGATTTGGTTGAGAGGCAGGCCATATAGGCCGCACAGGTCGAGCAAGGCCGGGCAGATGGGGAAACGGAAGCCTAGGTCGAAATGGGCGCGGAAGAAAGTGTAATAGCCCTCAGGAGGGTTATCGAAGGTATCATCGTCATAAGGAGTGCGAGCGGCCCCAGGATGGTCAATTGCATCAAAATCGAGACGGGAAGCGCTCGTAGATGGTTTAGAGGGTTTGGACCGTTTGGATGGCTTAGGATGAGGGGAGTGAGAGGGCATAGTCGACGAAACGGGAACGCGAGCAGACAGCGGGACATGGTCTTGAGGATCATCCTCGTATTCAATCTCGTCATCCTGATCGATAGCTCGACGAGCACGCTCGGTGGGAGGAGAAGAAGGGCGACTGGTGACCTCATCTTCAGGCTGGTCGACAAGATAGGTGGAGGGAGAAATGGCAGTGGCTGTAGGGCTATCGCTGGTCGTCGCAGGGGAAAGAACAGAAATGGGTTCAGGTTGAAGAATCTCTTGCACAGAATCACTCTATAGGCTGAGGGTCGCAGAAGAAGAAGGGAAAGTTAGGTCCCTCCCGCTGTGTCGGTCATTCTCACTCGAAGTAGCAGAATCTGAGATAAAAGAAAGGAAAACCATAATTAATCGAAGGAAGGAGTAAAAGCAGAGAAGAAGGTGAAAAAAAGTAAAGGAGAGCACAGCGGGAAGGACGAACAATGGACGAAGCCAAAATCAAGAAGAGGTTCGAGGAAGAGAGGAAGAACCCAAAAATTAAAAGTTAACAAACACAAATTGAGAAAAGGATAAAGAAGACTTACTCATGGCGAGCGACGGAGAATATGCAGAGAAGATGGAGGACTCAAGGTTGCAGGATTGTAATACCCCGTTTGATTATGAATTATTTGAGATTAATTATTTTGTATCATTGTTATTATTATTTATATTTATTTTCTAATTGCCAAATTCATTATTATTATTATTATTATTATTATTATTTTTATTATTA